CAGCAGGAGCCCTGAGACTCACACCTAACATTGCCCACGTCCGACACCTGGTGGAAGCAGGACGGACAGACCGACTGGAAGTTGGCGGAGAAGAGTCTGGGATCCTCCGGAGTCCACGGCGTCTTCCTTGCAAAGAACTGGCTAGAGAAGAGAAACAACAACAACAAAACACCAAGAACCCTCCAGGCTTTGGCGTTGTCTTCCTTGTGGCTTAACTGGTGCATTTGTGCGTTTCTATAGAGAGATCTCAGGCAGGAAGTTCCGGCTCTGTAATTAACATTCCACAGCGGTTCTCCGTCACTAATTACAGCATCGCCGAGACAATCGGAGGATGAGAAAGGCTGGCGTGAAGGCAGCCGCTCGGCACACCTCCGGCTTCCTCCTCCCTGGCCGGGACACTCTCTGCGACTGGCAAACAGTCCCCCGGACGCGGGCGAGTGTGGGCAGAGGTGGCATCGCCCGCAGCAGGTCCTGCTGCTGGCCAGGTCCCGGGCTGCCACGGGGACTCATCGTGATGGGCCGTTGCCGTGGGAACCGCCCTCTGAGACTCCTGTAGATGAGACCTCCGCCTCCAGGACCTGCATTTTGGTTTGGTTAATCCTCCCCCGGGGACATTTTCCATTGATTTTTAGAGACAGTGGGAGAGAGAGGGAGGGAAAGGCAGAGAGAAACTTCCATGTGAGAGAAACGCACCGACTGGCTGCCTCCTGCGCGCACCCTGACCAGGGCCCCGGCTGGGGAGGAGCCTGCCACCCAGGAACATCCCCTTGACCAGCATCGAACCCAGGACCCTTCTGTCCACAGGCCGACGCTCTATCTGCTGAGCCACCGGCCAGGACAGGCCTTCGGGATCGTGAGCAGCTTCTGGGTTCTCCCCGCCTCCCGCCCAGGCCATGGCTTTCTACCCGCTGCAGGTGGCGGGGCTGGTGCTGGGCGTCCTGGGCCTGGCCGGGGCTCTGGCCACCACGCTCCTGCCCCAGTGGCGCGTGTCCGCGTTCGTGGGCAGCAACATCATCGTCTTCGAGAGGATCTGGGAAGGGCTGTGGATGACCTGCGTGCGGCAGGCCCGGACCACGCTGCAGTGCAAGCTCTACAGCTCCCTGCTGGCCCTGCCCCCCACTGGTGGCCTGTTTCTCGTGATTAGATTTCGGCTTAACAGCCTGTGTGGGTCCCTCCCGTAGCCTCTCATTAAGTGGCACCTTATGTCTGATGTCCCGTCATTGCCCAGGCTGGGTTGGAGTATTTGATCGCCAGTGGTTTCTAAAAAATTACTTAGCTCCTTGTTTTTGCTTTTGCCCCCCGTGCTGGAGGCCGCCCGGGCCCTGGGGTGCGTGGCCGTGGCCCTCGCCCTCACGGCCCTGCTCGTGGGCATCTGTGGCCTGAGGCAGGTCCAGTGCACGGGCTCCGACGAGAGGGCCAAGGCGTACTTCGTGGGGGCGTCCGGGGCCCTCCTCCTCCTCGCGGGCCTCTTCGTCCTCATCCCCGTGTCCTGGACGGCCCACATCGTCATCCGGGATTTCCACAACCCCGCCGTCCACGTGGGACAGAAGCGCGAGCTGGGGGCTGCGCTCTTCCTGGGCTGGGCCAGTGCCGCCCTCCTCCTGGCCGGAGGGGCTC